AGTTTGTATAATCAATCTTTCTTTTTATTTTATCGTACAAGAAACTTGTTTCTTTCATGAAAAATCTGAAAACAAAAACACTAAATAATTTTTTGTTTATTTTAATTTGATGAAGATAAAACAAACACAAAAATGATTTTTTGCCCTTTTTGTAATAAAAGATATGATTCGAAACTTTTCGTGATCCACGTCAAAATACAGCACAAAGCAATGATGTTATCAGTTTGTAAATGTCGTCAAGAAGAGTGTTCGAGAAAGTTTAACAATTTTTATGCTTATAAAAGACATTTATCATTACAGCATTGTATGGTATTTGACCGAACAGAAATTCAAAATACGAGTTCTAACATTAATAATTCTTCTAATTTTCTGGAATTACAAAGTAATTATATTTTGAATGATCCTAATTCTCGTGATCCGAATCCTGTCTGTACTAGTTCAACTGTTGAATTTTCACAAATTGGATGTTCCTCTAACGAGTCTTCAAGTAGTGAACCTCCACAAGCTGGGTGTTTCGTTAACAAGTTATCAGTTTTAAACTCCGAAAATTTCGAGTTCATAGTGCAACAAGAAATCTCATCGTTCGTTTCTCAACTCTACGCGATATCTATTCTTCCACGATCGTTTATTTCCAATTTAATTGGTTACTTAAACAATTTGTATAATCAAACTCTCATACCAATTTTACAACAAAACTGTAATTTTACTAACCCCGAACAGTCACTATCGGATCTCACCAGAATGTTAACTATAATGCAGCACGGTTTTGATCATTTCAACACTGATCATCAGAGGTTACAGCATTTTGAAAGTTCGGGTGCACTTATTAAACCACAATCAATCGACATTTTTGCATTGTTAAGTTCTCGTTTAGCTGGAGGAAAACGTAAAGCTGTCATATCAAATTTAGCGATTCAAGTTATATCTATAAAAATGGTCTTAAAAAATTTTTTGGAACTGCCAAGTGTTTTATCTACAATTTTAATACACATGCAAGAATGCAAGCGTAGTGAAGCAATAATTTCAAATCTTCAAAGTGAATTGTGGAAGAATATTGAGTCAAAATTTGAAGGAAAAATCGTATTTCCATTGTTGTTATATTTTGATGATGTTGAAATCAACAATCCTCTCGGTTCTCATGCTAACATACATAAGCTCGGTGCCCTCTATTTCACATTAGCATGTATTCCATATGAATATAACAGTATTATAAGGTTTGTTTTGTCGTTGTCGCAGGTCTGATCAGGAAGAAGCAACTCGAGTATTCGTACAAAGTAACTTTATTGCACACGCAGGCCTTATATCACACTCGTCTCGCTCGCCTCGTGTTCTCGCAACGACTAACTCGCTAGGCCCCTCTCTCCCCGCACCGCCCCTTCCCTCTTCGCCCCGCTATCATCCTACTGTCTCCCGCGAGGTCGCGCTTCCTATATTCCTAACGCAAGATCCCTCCCTACACTCGGCCGTCCTGCAGTGACATGCGTCCTCGAATGTCTGTTTGCTCTTCGTCCTCCTCTTCTTCAGTATCAGAATTATCTCCGATAGACCAGGGCTTCATGAAATCGGCTGCGGTAGATGTACGTTGGGGTCCTTCATGCTCGCCTACCCTGTGGACAATGTAGCGGTTGTTGCGTAAGACCTTCGAAATTTCGTAAGGCCCCAAAAACTTTGATGCAAGTTTCGACCCTGGAACCTGCTGCGTTCGTCTGATAGCAACCAGGTCGCCCTCGCCATATGATGATGCCTCTTTCCGTTTCTTGTTGAACCCTCGTCGGTTTTCCTCTTGAACCTTGGCAATCTCCTTCACCGCTTGGGTACGCAGTTCGTCACGCCCTTCTTGGAAAGATGCAGACCACTCCTTTTCAAGTAGTTCCCGTATATTATCATCTTCGCGTAGTCGTACATCGACTCCAAACAACAGACGAAATGGGGTCGTAGCTATACTTCTGTGTACAGTCGAATTTAACCATTGCTGTGCGACTCCCAGATGCTTGTACCATTCCTCCGCCTTCGGTGCAGCTAACTTCGTTAGGAGCGGGATGAGCGTTCGATTAATACGCTCCACCTGTCCATTTGCCCTTGGAATTCCCGTCGTCGTTAGAGTATGCTGGATACCCTCCTTGCAGTACTCCTTGAAATCTCCTGAAGTGAAAGCAGTTCCTCTATCTGAGATGATCCTCCTCGGATTCCCGAACACCATCGCCTGCTTCTTGAGACGATCGAGCACCTCTGCCGTACCTGTTGATTTCGTTGCGTACAGCCACGTAAATTTGCAAAAACCATCGGTCACCACAAAAATGTGTCTATAGCTCTTTTTGGTCGACGCGAGCGGCCCCAGATGATATGAAAGGTATCGAGTGGAGTATCGCCTTTGTCAAGCGGGGACAGAAAACCTTCTTGCTTCCCCTGTTTCTTCTCGGCTAATATACAGTCTATGCAGTTCCGCACCACTTTCTCAACTCTCAGGCGTAGGTTTTGGATGTAGTAATCCCGTCTGACGATCGCTTCTGTCTTCGCAGCGGCGAAGTGCCCCCTCTCGTGAGCTCTCCTGATTATCTGTGAGCACATCGTTTTTGGTACCATCAGCCGAATGTCACCATCAACCTCCTTGAACAGCAACCCTCCACGGACCGCATATCCGGGTCCCCTTTTTTCCTCCGGTAGTTGCAGGATTCTATTTATGTCGACATCGTCACGTTGAGCTCTTCCCAGTTTCGCTGTCAGTCCACTGTTCTCCCCATCGATGAGCAAACAAGCGGGCAGTGGGTTCCTACTCAGAGCATCTACATGGGACATGCTCTTTCCTGGCCGATGCTCAATCTCATAACGAAACTCCTCTAACATGAGCGCCCATCTCGCTACGCGTACACACAGATCTCGTTTGGACATAGTTTGAGTAAACGCACGACAGTCTGTAACAATCTTAAAGTCTATACCGAGTAAATATACCCTAAACTTCCTTAACGCTTTAACTATGGCGAGCACCTCGAGCTCGTGGCTCGGGTACTTCTCCTCAGCAGGAGTGGTCTTACCACTCGCGTAGTATATCGGATGCATTGCATCATCGTCGCTATTTCGCTGCAGCAGAATCGCACCGTAACCGTGCATCGACGCGTCGGTGTGCAGTTCGGTTTCCGCTCCGACTCTATACAAATTTAGGACGGGCTTATCTGTTAATGCTAGTTTTAGCTGGTCAACGGCGCTTTGTTCCTTTTCTCCGAATTTAAATGTCGCGGTAGCCCTCAGCATGTCTGTCAGTGGTCGCGCGATGACGGAGTACCCCCTCACGAATTTTCGAAAATAACCCGTTAATCCTAAAAATGACTGTACCTGCCGGACACACGTGAGCGCCGGGAATCTCTTTACGGCCTCCGTCTTACGCTCGGATGGTCGGATGCACCCGTTTTCAATCGTGTGACCCAGATATTCGACACTCGCTCGTAACATACTACACTTTTTCCAATTTATTTCTAAGCCATTTTCGCTGGCCACGCTTAACACGCGTTTGAGTTTTTCTAACCCTACTTCGCAGTCGATCGACGGTATTATCAGATCGTCCATATAAACCAGTACATCTCCATTGCGAACAAGATCTCGGAATACGGTATTTACAAATCTCTGAAAAACCGCGGGGGAGTTGCAGAGACCAAACGGCACCCTGAGAAACTCGTAGTGTCCGTCGGGAACCACGAATGCAGTATACTTTACACTTGATTCGTCCATTCTTACATGAAAAAAACCGTTCTTTAGGTCGAGCGTACTGAATACCGTCGCATTCTGCAGTGCGTCAAGTTGATCCTCTATTAGCGGTAATGGGTATCTATCCCTAACAATCTTTTTATTAAGTAACCGGTAGTCGACACAAAGTCGGTTCGAACCGTCCTTCTTTTTTGCCAGTACTACTGGGCTCGCGTAATCGGATACAGATGGTCTTACAATACCGTTCTCTAACCACTCGTCTATCTGCGCATTTATTTCATTCCGTTCGGCCATCGCTAGCCTTCGCGGACTAAGACAGACCGGGTCGTCGTCTTTTAGTACAAGTTTCATTTTGATCCCCGTTTCGCGTATTCGGTTCGGTCTATAACTGTCTACTACGGATTTCACAATCTGCTTATATTCGGCGTTATGTACGTGACTTACGTCTACTGTGTCACCCTCTCGGTCAGAGACTACGCTGATTTGGCAAACCTCTGCGAGACTATTACCGTCGCCGTCGCTTGACGGTTTTATTATAGTAGGTTCACCGCGTCTTAAATGTACATCGACTGTATCGAGAAAATCGCTACCGATCAATAGGTTATACCTCAATAACTCATCCGACACAACGTGAATGGAAATTGTATAGCAATTCCCGTCAACCGTCAACTTCGCGCGAAATCCTCCTTCCGTGGTGTTTACCGCGGTACCTATTCCCCTAAACGGCGTCCCTTCGAACTCGAAACGCGGAGAGCCTATTTTCGCGTATTCGTCTTTGCGCATTATAGTGATGTCGCTTCCCGAATCAATAATCGCTTGTATCACAACGTCGTTAACCGATACACTCTTAAATCGCTTACGCCGGTGGGTCTGAGCGATCGCGCAACTGTCCTTTGCCGCGCCTTTGTTGGGACACTTAGAGGCTATATGCCCGTACTCACGACACTCAAAACATTTGTTACCTTTCTCCTTGGTCGGACAATTCGCACTCACGTGATCCTTCAGCCCACAACTGTAGCAACGCTTCGTCGTACCGCGCCCCTTCTTCTCACTCGGATTTTTCTCGTCGTCCGCCACGGGCTTCTCGTTCGCGTTACTCTTGCCACTCTTGTCCGCCTTACGCTTCGCGCCACCGCTTCTGTCGTCGCCCTTCGAACTCGCTGTTGTCGCCGCTGTGTAGCCCTTGTCTCGTAACGATATCTGGCTGAATCTCGTTAGAATCTCGTCCCTCGTGGTGAATCCCTGTACTCGGGCCAAATCGCGTAGTTCCGGATCCGGGATGCCTTCGATTACGTATCCTAGGACCTCGTCGTCTGGGATAGCTATACGATTTGCCATTATTGTCTTCTCGTGGACGTAATCATGGAACGTCTCGTCCCTCTTCCACGTTCGTTCCTCGAAACGTTTCCTCATCGCTAGCTTGTTCGGCTGCCGGTGGAACATGCCTCGCAGGTTGTCTAGTAACGTGTCTGGTGTCATTTCCATGTATTCGTGTCTCGAGTGAAACCAGTCTAACGCGCGTCCCTTGAGTCTTGTGCCGATCAGAATTTTAGTCAAGTCATTGTTTAGCTTATACGTGGCGCTGAGAAACCTCACTTGTTTCTCCCACGTCTCGAACGTTTTGGTGTCACCGTTGAAGTATTTCAGTAGGTCCGCTACGACGGCCACATTTACCTTCGTCGTCCGTGTAAGTGAGTCGTCCTCTGCGATAGTCGACTGTTGATTCGCACCTCGTACTTCCGTGCCTCGGCTGTTACCAAGCGGGACGTCGCTCGGTGCCCGAGTCGTCAATATGGCGGCATTCGTCGTGTTATTGTTTTGCGTCATACGTAGCAGCTCGATCTCGCGCCGTGTTATGGCGAGTTCTCGCTCGGTCACATCCTTCTCTCGTTGGCAGATTTCGAGTTCTCGTTGGAGAGCTTGGGATCTCTCGCGTTCGTCCGTCTCCTCTCCGCCTTGCCACGCATCTTCTTCATCGAGGGGTACTCCCCCTTTGGCGCCATCGTCGTTGTCGTCCGCCGCTTTCGTCGCATCCTCAGGTCCCGTCGCTCTTTGTATCTCCTGTCACTCGGATCGACGCTCATCAGTCGGATTATGAGCTCGGTTTTCGTTCCCGCCGTGCTCAGTCCCCGTCGCTTTAAGATGTCTTTTAGCGCCACTACGCTAAGCCTCTTCGGATTGATTCCCTCCATTACTCGTCGTCTCTCGTCTTAGTGATGCTTGCCAGCAATAATCGTCGTGTTGGCAATCGTCGTCGCTGTTCGTCGCAGTAGTGCCCGTTCCGTGTAATGCACGCACGCCGCACTCGTCTCTTCTATCGTCGCTGTTCGTCGCAGTAGTGCCCGTTCCGTGTAATGCACGCATGCCGCACTCGTCTCTTCTATCGTCGCTGTTCGTCGCAGTAGTGCCCGTTCCTGAATCTCGACTCGAGCCCCCAAATATAGGGTTTGTTTTGTCGTTGTCGCAGGTCTGATCAGGAAGAAGCAACTCGAGTATTCGTACAAAGTAACTTTATTGCACACGCAGGCCTTATATCACACTCGTCTCGCTCGCCTCGTGTTCTCGCAACGACTAACTCGCTAGGCCCCTCTCTCCCCGCGCCGCCCCTTCCCTCTTCGCCCCGCTATCATCCTACTGTCTCCCGCGAGGTCGCGCTTCCTATATTCCTAACGCAAGATCCCTCCCTACAGTATACTGGAAAATATTTTTCTTGCACAACTCCATAATTCTAATGATCACAAAATTGCCGGTAATATAAAAGTATTTCGCAATATCATTGATCAAATTACCGATCTTTCAACAAATGGATTGACTGTGAATGTAGACGGGCAGGAACGAACGATATATTTCTCATTATTAGCTGTTGTTGGTGATAATTTAGCGATAAACGATATTGGCGGCTTTGTGACCAGCTTCAACTCACACAGTTGGTGTAGAGTGTGTACCGCGGACAAAACCGAAACACAAAGTCAAGTTAAAGAAGCTCCTCACATGCTACGAACTGTTGAAAACTATATAAAACACTGTAAAGATTACTCTACTGGCGTTAAAACTGAGTGTATTTTTAACGAAATTCCCAACTTTCATATTATAGACAATGCTACTGTTGATATCATGCATGACATTTTTTAAGGAATATGTCGATATGAGATCGCAAAAATTTTAAGTGTATTTATCACTAAAGAACGTTTATTTTCTCTGGATATTTTTAATGAGCGCTTGAAACATATTGATTGTGGTCGAAATTTTTCAAAAAATGTACCAATTTCTATTTCAAACAAAGCTCTTCAAACGCAATATTTGATAATCTCAGCATCGGAAATGGTGTTTCTAATTCAACATTTTAGTATTCTCATCGGTGATCTCGTCCCTGTAAATCATACAGCTTGGGAACTTTTTCTGACTTTGCGTGAAATTATTAGTATCATAATGAGTTCAACGGTTACGTCTGCAACAAGTGAACTACTCGAAACGTTGATATCCGAACACCATTCACTGTATTTAGAAGTTTTTGCTGAGCCGCTTAAGCCTAAACACCATTTTTTACTGCATTACCCACGACTTTTAAAAAGGTTGGGGCCTCTAAAACATTTATCGAGTTTGCGTTTTGAAGCAAAACATAAAGCATTCAAAGACAATGCTAAAGTAGTGATGTCACGTAAAAATTGTCCTTATACTTTGGCATTGAAACACCAACTCGCGTTATGTCATAGATTTCTCTCCAGAAAAGGATTCTCTGATAGATTAAGTTGGGGGCCTACATTAAACCAAAGAATAAATAACCTTGCAGATTACCATACTTTTAAACATGTTCTTCCATTCAACATTCAATGCAAACACGTACTTGATACCTGGGTTAAAAACAATGGTATCATTTATCGTAAAGATGTAGCTGTAGCCACACATTTAGATGACAATAACCTTATCGTGTTTGGTAAAATTCGTTATATAATTATCGACAATATGGATCAGATATTATTTATATATCTGGAGTTTAATACCAAAGGTAGTGACAGACATTATTGCGCATTTGAAGTAATGGAAACATGTGTTTGGAAACTTATTAGGTTAAAAGATTTATTCATGTATGAGCCTCAAAATGTGATTGCGGTCAATGGCAATCTTTATATTTTATTAGATTAAGTGTAATTATTTACATATAGCGTATAGTTTGTACTTAAGAGAATACTCATACTTCTCCTTTTTTCCGATTAATTTTATTTTTAAGTTGTGCTTATATGCGAAATGTATTCGCGTTGCGTTATACTGCATTATGTTTCATATGTAAGATTGAGTACATGTATTAAAGTTTTCAATACATGTAGTCAATATTAAAGTTTCCAAAGTTTTCGTACCTGTTATCATAATTTCTAGGGATAGGCATAAAATTTAACGGTCAGTGTAATCTGCTGCTTTCTTTATATAAAAAAAGTTACACATATCTCCGTCCATTTGATATTTTCGAAGCAAGATACATCGATAGTTTGTACTTAAGAGAATACTCATACCTCTCCTTTTTTCCGATTAATTTTATTTTTAAGTTGTGCTTATA